GTATATTGACAAAATACTACATCGATTTAAAATGGAAGAATCTAAGAAAGGATTCCTCCCGATGGGTCATGGGATATCGTTATCAAAGAAGGATAGTCCTTCAACTGATGATGAGATCAAACGCATGAGAGGGATTCCATATGCTTCTGCAATTGGTTCAATCATGTATGCTATGATCTGTACTAGGCCAGATGTGGCTTATGCGCTTAGTATTGTTGGTCGATATCAAAATAATCTAGGAGAACGGCATTGGAGTGCTGTTAAGACTATTCTTAAGTATCTTAGACGAACTAAAGAATATTTCTTGATTTATGGTGGACAAGAGAAACTAATAGCATCTGGTTACTCTGACGTTAGCTTCATGACAGATAAGGATGACTATAAGTCACAATCAGGATATGTTTTTAATCTCAATGGAGCAGCGGTAGACTGGAAGAGTTCCAAGCAAGACACTACAGCTGATTCGACAACAGAAGCCGAGTACATTGCTGCATCAGAAGCAGCTAAAGTGGCCGTATGGATACGTGAATTCCTCAAAGAATTAGGGGTTGTTCCAAATGATAGTCATCCAATAACCATTTATTGTGACAATACTGGTGTTGTTGCACAAGCAAAGGAACCAAGATGCGACAAAAGGAATGGACATGTGCCGAGGCGCTATCATGTGATTCGAGAGCAGATAGCAAGAGGAGAGGTTGCAATAGAACGTGTTTCCACTGAGGACAATTTGGCAGATCCCTTCACCAAACCTTTGAGCTGCGAGAAACATACTAGACATTTTGAGAATCTAGGTGTTAGACGCATTGATGATTGGCACTAGGCCAAGTGGGAGATTGTTAGTATATATGTCCTAGCGACAATCATTTTTTAAAGACATATGTACTTGATCACATTTAGTTTTTATATTTGATATATACACGGTATTACACTTTATGAATGATTGTTTTCGATTGTCAATGTTTTATTCATAATTGTGTTCCCTTGGATTTATGTTGTCAATAAGTAAGTGGAAGCTTATATGATATAACATAAGGTCCTAAAATAGCCCCAATCAATGATCATCAAGAATGGGATATTGATGATATGCGATAAGATTGGTATGTGGACTGCATCATACTTTTAGAAAGTATAGTTGATCTCACGACTATGAGTTCCTGTAATTCATGATGGTCACATAGATATTCTAGAGAATATTGGCATACCCACCGAGAAACCATTTGATAAGTTCTATTCATGTGTCTATGGGATTATCGGCGTATAGAGTAGTGTAATAGTCCTCCGACTTGAGGTCAATACGTACTACATGTGCGGAGTGATGTACTTTGACCATGACCAACGCTTGCACTCCAATCAGGGTAGATACGGCATGTGTTGGGTGCATCACGAAGCACATGGAGTAGTAGTTGAGCCAAGAAAGGATTCATTCCTCATAATAGATTAAGAGAGAACATTCTACTTCTCATATCTAGATGGATCATAAAGTCATTGGCCAATGCAAAGATATATTCGTTTTGGATATCGAATATGATCGTTATGGATCATCTAGAAAGATTGAGAGACAGAGACTGAGTTATTGGGATAGACACTATATCATGTTCTAGACTTAGTTGAATGTTCGCTGAATGAAAGGACCGTATCACTATGAGCTCTATATTACAGGGAGTTTGTATAGTCCTCGCAAACGTCCTTATATATTAAGTTTGTCTGGAGAATTGTCTAGGGATTCGTTAAGACCTTAATTTGATTAGTGCCTGATATATAAGGCCCTATGGGTCACACAACAAGTGATTATACATTCTGATTGAATTGTTAGAAGGAATTAAATATTATTAATTGAATTAAATAATATTTAATTCGTAATACTGAAAATGAATTAAATATTAATTAGATTAAACATATTTAATTCATGAAACTGAAGGAGAGTTCTATTTGATAGAATTAATTAAGTAAGATAAATTAGATTTATCATACTTAAATAAGATGTATTTATTATTAAATAAAGTAGATATTTTCTTTTGTAATTTGGAATTAAAAGAAAAGTAAATAAAATAAATATTAATATATAATAATTAGAAAGTGGCGTGCAGCCACATCTCAATTATTATTATTATTATTTTGTTTTTTTTATCTACTTATTTAATTAATTAGGAGTATTGGTCCTAGCAGGATTAGAACTCATTAATTAGAAAGACTTTCATTGTGATTCAGAAACTAGTTTAGAACTAGTATAAATACATCCACCTCCTTCATAATTAGAGACAAGTTTTTAGATTCAGTATTACTAGTTTATTTCCTCGCGAAGAGATTTCCTAGCCTTTCTCTTAGGGAGATCTAACCGTTCTTTCGGGAAGGAGAAATCACGTGGATACCAAAGGTCAAGGATTATCACCGCTAGGCTGGAAGATCTGTAAGTTCTAACTCAGATCTGTTATTATTATCATATTCGTTATTTTGTCATAATCAGGGAAGATCTGTTTGGGAAAATTTTAAACTTCCGCTGCCGTACTTTCGAGGTACGTTACATCAATTTCCTAACAGCTGGATTTTAGTGAAAAGTGAATTGATTGAGTGAATACGTATAAAATAGTGGAGAATTTAACTTATTGACGGTCCTGGATTGTGGTTAGGCTTGCGCATCACAATTCTGGAATGATGAATTTATAGGTAATAGTATAGATAACAGCATGACCCATCATGTTAAAAGGTAAACTCAAAATAAATTAAAGAATTCAGATCGTGCTACCCGCACGGGTAGCTCAGTTGGTCGAGTTGTGGGAAAATTGGACCAAGTGACCAAGGTTCGAAACCCGCAGCGGCCGTGTGGAGGTTACAGAACCTGAAATAAGGCTAGACCTCTGGTGCGCACATGTATAAGGCTTACCGCCGCTTTGCTGACTGAGTCACCGTGATCAACTCCCCTACTATCCTGGCGGGTCGGGGTGGGGGCTTCTGGGTTGGGAGATTCTACCTTTTGGACCAAGAATTCCGGTCGTGGATGAGAGCACACGTAACAGCGAGAAGGGGGTGAGGGCTGACCAGTAACCGGTTTTGGAGAAAGATATTAAAAAGGGGATTAACAATGTTGCTGGGATAAAGGTGCCCACATCGATGAGAGATCCAATTGACATGATCTAGCTCTATTATTATTGCAAGTGAGGTTAAAGATACTGGGAAGCAGAAGAACGACATATTAGTTCTGATTTCTCTAATCCAAGTTCGTATGGATCTTCCTCTCCCTCTCCTCTCCGTCTGTTCTCTCTACCTTTTAAATTGTCTGATAGGTACATCACTCGATCTTCTGTGCATATAAGATGATACTCTCATCTTTTGTTTGATTATCTCATTTCTCAATCAGTTTTTTCTGATATGCTCACATTTCAACGCAACATACGCATCTGCCACACTTATCCTTTAAATGTAATATTATGTCACCACCCAACATACATAATAAGGGAGTAATTACTTTTGTAGAAGAATTAGGGAGTAATTGTTTGTTATTGCCGATATATGTGAATACGTAATTAAATCACAAACTCTAAAAAACAAACATTAAACAACCAACATGACAAAACAAACATTAAACATCAATCACTAAATAACAAACACAAAACAACAAATTGTTAATTTATTTGGTGACCCTGTTCATCAGCTTATCCGGCTTTATCAGTCAACTTTTCACCAAGCTCGTAATTTTTTATTTGGCTCACTGAATTGTACAAAAATCAAAATAAGTAATGTTGAAGTTACTTCTCTAGCTGATTTGGCTGAAGTTAGTGTATCGGGTCATTGAGCTAGTTTTCATATAAAATATTCTTTATTTTGTTAATAAAATACGTAGTATATTTTAAATATAATTTTACTATAATTCAGCAGACAGACAATTCAATCACCTCAGTCAGAACTTCATAAATTTCAGCAAAATCAACTAATTGAACCAATTTTGGTCTTATCAAACAAGTTGTTATTCTTTCGTGTTTCTTTCACAAATTGAGATGAAATTCCAAATGTGATACGGAGAATAAGTTTTTCAATTTAAAATATTGTAGTTATACGTAATATTTTTAAATACAAAAATGACGTGTTTTTTTCTTGTCAATATTCATTCATATGTTGTGCATTGAAATGTGCCTTTTAAATTATACGTACTCCGTAAGTATCTATAAAAAAAAAGTCAAAGGGATTATTTTTTTTGGTCATCAAATCCTACTAATAAATTAAATCAAAATAACGTTCGTCACATGGCTGATAATACAATCAAGGAAAAAAGAGTAAACAAAATGATAAAAAGCCTTATGTCTGCCGTCCGCCTTCGAACCAGACTGAGAATCTATCACCTCTGTAGAAGCAATAACATTCGATGATCCTGTAATGGACATAACTGAGCCAATGACTGGCAAACCAGACTTCTCATCACCTAACCTAATTTTAAGAATTTCTCTGCTAGGAAAAAATAACATGTCCAAAACAACATGCAATTCGACAGAAAAACACAAACTGAATAAAACGCAATTAAAATAGAGTTCATCCATCTTCTTCCAAACCCTAGATTTGCTTGCACTCCATGGCGGCGGCTCAGGAGGGGGACGCGCCCGCCGCTCATCTGCCACACCCTCAACATCAGTTTCAATTAGATCCAGTTCTTCTTCCTCTGCCCCAATCACCATCTTCTTGTATTTTTCCACGAAGTTGTCCATACAAACCTGTTGTTTTAACCTTTTGCCGGAACCTTGCCAAAATCCTCCTTGTGATCCCCTCCTTGTTCCAATAGCAACAACCTTCTCGACGTCGTACTCACCTAAGTGAACATCGCCGGACAAAACAAGTTAGGCGTTGCCTCAGACGTCAACCCTAGAGAGAGAGGCGGCTTTGACTCATAGTCAAGGGATTATTTTAAATAATCAAAGTTTATGCATTTAGAAAAAAGTACTACTCCGTACTATAATACTAATAATAATACAGTAATATAATAGGAGTATCTGAATCTAAATTAAAAGATTAACATTTGGATTTGATAACAGTAGGATATTGTTAGAGCATATAAGAGGAGTAGCACTATCTTTATCCAACTCCTATGGCGACTTCTCCTTTTGCTCCCTCCACAGCTATTCTTCCACTCTCCGTCACCACGACCTTAAATGTCCTGCCGGACGTTATCCTCTCCAACATCATCGCCGCCATCTCCGACGTTCGGACTCGCAACTCCGCTGCACTCGTATCCCGGAAATGGCTCATACTCGAACGTTCCACCCGCACCTGCCTCACCCTCCGCGGCAACGTCCGAGACCTCATCATGCTTCCTGCCTGCTTCAGATCCGTCAATCACCTCGATCTGTCTCTACTCTCTCCCTGGGGCCACCCTCTCCTCTCTCCGGTCTCCTCCGGCGGCGGGGCCGCCGTCTTCACTGACCCAACCCTCATCGCGCACCTCCTCCTCCATGCCTTTCCCTCCATCAATTCCCTCAAGCTCTATGCTCGCGACCTCTCCACCTTCCAGCACTTGCCTTCCCAGTGGCCGCAGCTGAAGAAAATCACACTGGTCCGATGGCACCAGCGTCCACAATTAGCATCCGGCGAGGAGTTCAGCTCCTTCTTCCGCGAATGTTCGAACATGGTCTCACTGGATTTATCGGCTTTTTACTGCTGGGCCGATGATATTCCACCTGCTCTCGAATCTCACCCCAAAGTCTCATCGAATCTCACCAGCCTCAATCTCTTAAATCCCTCGTTTTCCGAGGGATTCAAGACCGAAGAGATCACGGCGATAGCAAAATCCTGTCCCAATTTGAAGGAATTGCGCGCTGCCTGTATGTTCGACCCTAGGTACATAGGTTTCGTTGGGGATGAAGCCCTAATTTCAATATCCACAAAGTGTCCGAATCTCTCCATCCTTCATTTAGCCGATACCTCTGCTCTGTCCACTACAAGAGGTGATCCCGAGGACGAAGGTTTCACAAGCGAGGAAGCAAGGATCAACGTTTCCACATTGATAGAGGTATTTTTTCGTCTTCCATTACTAGAAGAACTTGCTTTAGATGTGTGTAACAGCGTTAGAGACAGTGGTCCTGCATTTGAAATTCTCAACTCGAAATGTCCTAGATTGAAATCTCTCAGGTTAGGGCAATTCCACGGCCTTTCAGTACCGGTTGAGTGGAAGTTGGACGGAATTGCCCTCTGTCAAGGGCTGAGATCCCTATCAATCAGGAATCCAGGAGACTTGAATGATATCGGATTGATTGCAATAGGCAGAGGGTGCTCCAGGCTAGCTAAGTTTGAGATCCAAGGTTGCAAAAAGATAACAATGAAGGGGATGAGAACTGTTGCTAGTTTGCTTAGGAAGACTTTGATCGACGTTAAGATCTCTTGTTGCAAGAATCTCAGGGCACCCTCAACTTTGAAGGCTCTCGAGCCTATACAACATACCATCCAAAGGCTCCACATTGATTGTGTGTGGGTCGAAGATTCATCCAAAGAAGATTCTAATTGTGGTATGGAGTTCAATTTTGGAGTTGCCTCCTATAATGGTAGCGCAAACGACGAGGATTGTGATAATGATGAGGGGGAAATGTGCAATAAAAAGAAAAAGGTCAAATATTCTTATGACCTGAATAGTGTGTACGACGAAATGGAAGGTGATGGTCATCGGACATGGGCTCAATTGCGATACATCTCCATCTGGATTGGTGTTGGGGAGCTTCTCACACCACTAACGAGTGCCGGTCTAGAGAATTGTCCAAAGCTAGAGGAAATGAGGATCAAGGTGGAAGGAGATTGTAGGCTACTCTCCAAACCTTCGGATCGGGAATTTGGCTTGGCTACTCTATTATGGTTTCCTAAGCTCAAAAGGATGCATTTGGATTGTGGAGACATTATAGGGTATGCACACACTGCACCGTCGGGGCAGATGGATCTCAGCCTATGGGAGAGGTTTTACCTGTTTGGTATTGGTAATCTTAACTTAAGCGAACTTGATTACTGGCCACCGCAGGACAGGGATGTCAACCAAAGGAGTCTTTCGCTGCCTGCAGCTGGTTTGATCCAGCAGTGCCCCACGCTCCGCAAGCTTTTCATCCATGGGACAGCTCATGAGCATTTCATGAGGTTCTTTCTTCACATCCCACACCTAAGAGATGTACAGTTAAGAGAGGATTACTACCCAGCACCGGAGAATGACATGAGTACAGAGATTAGGGCAGATTCTTTAAGCCGCTTTGAAGCAGATCTAAACAGGCGCCGAATTCCCGATTAACTTTTCATGATCATTTAATCTTGATTTTTGCTTTTTTCTTTCACATTTGTCATGCTGCTTTGAGATATATTCCCATTTTAGCCCTACCTAGGCACAGTCCAGGTCTGGCTGCGGTTCCGGACAGAAGTCTGGGCCTGGCCCGAGTATAAAGGGTCCTAGGTACCCGACCTGTCCGGTGCTGGGTTCTGGTCCCGGTCTTTTGCTTCTTTGTTTTGTACTTTTGTTATTTAGTCCTTTCGTCTCATTTTTCTTGGTTTACTTGTTCTACTTTCTTTTTTGAATTTTCACATTTTTTTAGAAAGAAATATGTTGTCCACAGTATTTGACTTTATTATACTAAATGTCAATCATAATTTTATTTTTTAATAACTTCATTGATAATTATGTCAAATCAATACAAGACTCATAAAATAGGCGAAGGTACTAATATTAAAAACACCCCCAACTAGGCTTGGACTCGGGTCGGGCCACCCGGCCCGTGGACCGGCCCGGCCCGCTACTGTGCGGGACCGGGACCGGCCCGGTTCTCGGGTCCGGGTCCGGGTCGGGCCTAGGCCCAGGGGGTAGGGCGGGTCCGGGCTCGGGTCTCAATTTTGGTGAACTGGGCCGGCCGGGTCGGGCCCGGGCCAAATTGAATTTTTTTTATTTTTTTTTCATTTTTTGGGGTTCCACTCGGGTTGGGCTTGATGGGTAGGATGGGTTTGGGGGGGGTTTGGGAGGGTGAGGGGGGGGGGGGGGGGGTTAGGAAAGCAAAAAAAAAAAAAAAATCCAAACCGGAGGCCCGGCCCGGACCCGGTGGCTACCCGGGCCGGTCCCGGGTCCACCATTCTTGAACCGCCGGCCCGCCCGGGCCTAGGCCTGACCCGGACCCGAGTCCACCCTTACCCCCAACTGCCCAACCAACCCCCCAATGGCTCTAATTGTTGCTTATAGCCATTCCAGTAGCTATTTTGGGCTGCCCAAAATTGAAACATAAAAAAGAAAAAAATGACTGTTGGGACAGAAACCGAAAACCAGGATCAAGACTGCTTAGTTTGGTCCCAAAAATTTAAAACCGGGACTGACTACACGAGATTTCAAACACGATTCAGTCCCATGCCTGAGACCCTAAAAACAGACCCGGTCCAGTACTCCATTACATAACAGTACTGGACCTGGTTTTGGACTGCAGGAGGGATCCTTACCTAGCCTTACCTATAAAGACATTTTTAGTTCCTATCGTCTTTGATCTCTACTTTAGTACTTTTTACTTGTAGCCTTCTGGTTATTGTGTGATTGTATAATGTTGACACGCAACACTGAATTTGCTAAAAAGATTAAACGTATAAGCGTTAAATACTTAAATATTACAATATTGTAAATATTAACTGTCACCGTAGTCAACAATCAATAGATTAAATCTAGGGATGGACTTGGTCCGGGTCGGTCTGGGTCGGGCCTTAGGCCGTCCTGACCAGGCTTCTTTTTGGTTTGTTGAGACTGGGGTTGGATTCAGTTCGGGCCACCCAGCCCGGTACTGTGCCGGCCCGGGACCGGGTATGGGCCCGAACCGGTGGGAAGGGGCGGGGCGGGCTCGGTGCTGGAATAATGTGACCCGGCCGGGTCGGGCCGGGGCCCGGGTCCGGTCTTATTTTAAAAAAAAAAAATTGTTTGGTTGGGCTACTAGCCGTTGGGGGTGGGGTCAAGGGGGGGGTCCGGGGGGGGTTGGCTGTGGGGGGTGGGGGGTGGGGGGTAAAAAAACCTATAAATACTCCTAATCTTAAACATTTTTTCATCTCTTCTCCAATGCTTCCTAAATCCTATTCTTAACTCTCTACTCTCTAATTCTCTTATTCTCCAATATATTATATTTATTATTTATATATCTACTTTATAGTTTATACTTAAGAAGTTAAGATGGAAAATCAAGATGCCATTATACGGTATAATTTTGATAAGCAGAAGGACCCGAAGACCGGGATGTGGTACGCAATTTGCAAATGGTGCGAGAAAAAATGTAGCATGGGGCTTCAAGCGGATTCGGGATAGCAATCAAGCATATGAAGTCATGTGACAAAACCAAAGGATCCGGAGGCGCGGGAAGTTCCGATTGATTACAATTTTCAAAATGTTTCTCTTAAAGTTTGTTTTAATTTTCAAATGTAGTTCCTATTTCATTTCAAATAAATGCAATTAAAGTTTGTTTTTAATACTCGTATAAAACTATAAACTATAAAATATAAATTATAAAAAAAAAATAACCGGCCCGGCCCGAACCGGACCCGACCCGTGACCCGGGCGGGTGGCCCGGCCCGAACCGGACCCGTCCAACCCTCGGGCCGGTCCCGGGCCCATGTCATACAACCCGGTGGCCCGATCGGGCCTAGGCCGGGCCCGACCCGGCCCGAGTCCAACAATAGTTGAGACCCAGAACCGGCCCAGGTAGCTACCAGGTCCGGGCACCTTATATTTTTCTCCCTAATTACTTCCTAGTTCCTACCCCCCCCCCCCCCCCCCCCCCCCCACTCTAAACTCCTCCAAAACACCCAGCCCAAATCATTTACCTCCCAAAGAATTTGAAAACCCAAAAAAAAAATTGGCCCAGGCGCAGCTCATTATTTGGAGACCTGGAGCCCGGCCCAAGAAAATCTGGTTCAGGTATAGTGGACCCGGCCCAGAACTAGGCCGCGGGGCCGGTTCGCAGCAGTACCGGTTCGGACCGGTTGACCCGGCCCAAGTCCATCCCTAATTAAATCTGGAAAAAATCAAATACAAATATCTAAAAAATATCATTGTCAACTTGTCAAGATAGCAAGGACTAAAGTAAAATGAAAAATCTCTGGTTTGGTATAGGAACAAGAAATGCTTTGTAATTTTCTGGAAACGGTTTGTAATGTTTAAATGGTCACACAAGAGGGTAAACACTACACTTTTTGTAGGGTTGAAACAATCACTCAAAAAAGTTACATGAGCCGACACAACATTGTAACAACTCTATCATGTATGTGTATCTATATACAAAAACAAGAACAAATTGCAATCAGCAGCAGAGTGAATATTCACAATCCGCTAGGCGCGTCAAAATTTCCTCACAGCTAGGCCGTTCTTGAGGCTCCGCCCAGCAATCTGCAATTACACAATTATTCAAAGAGAAAAAAGAAGCGTATTGTGAGAACCCACAATGCAGGGAGCTGAATTTCCGACTATACAATTACACTTACCTGCAATAAGTCTGCCCAACGGGCCAGTGTCTGGTATCTCTAACCTTGACCCCTCGTTAGCGACAGCATATACAACCTGCAAGACAATAATGAAATGCTCACATAGCTACACTTTACACTGATAAATGCAGACTGTAAAATGAATATAATGTTAGCGAAATGTGATGTCTTACCATCAGATATTACATACTTTGTTTCTATTCCATGTTTTGTGAGACTCAAATAATTATCTCGAGTAATAGACTAAATACTCCATAGTTTTCCCATCCAAAGTTATATCTCGAGATGTGTCACTTTGTTGTGGGAGGGCTTTGTTGGGCTTGTACATCATTGTACATATAACAATTTGAAAATGAAAAAAAGGTAACACATCCGTCCCAGCTTAAGGTTCTCATTCAAAAATGACACGGTTTTTTAGACAATAATTAAATAAGGTAACTTCAGTATATTCTGAAAAGTCATTTTTGGTGGGTATATAATATAATGGAATATTGGTGAAAATTGTGATGTTATGCGTGTATTATTTTTTATATGTGATAAAATACTCTGGGTTGGATGAGAGTATGGCTTTGGAGAGAGCAAAGTGGAGGGCGCACATCTGGACGATTGATGTCTTTTCTACCTTTCCTCTCTCTTCTCTTTTATCGTTTATCTTCTTTATCATTTTATATTATAGTGTTATTTTTATCTTCTAGCTTTTTGATGCTCTTTTATCTTTCTATCTTTTATCTTTCTTATATTATTATGTTATTGTTATCTTATATTTATTTATCTTTATTTTATCCGTCTTATCTTATTAATCAATCTTGTTCGTCTTCTTTATTTGGCATCGATATCATAGATTGATTCATGTTAGCCGACCCTGAATTCTTTTGGGATTAAGGCTTGGATGTTGTTTGTTGTTAATGGTTAAGTTGACATATAAGAATGTTAATTATTTCCTAGTATAAATGAGAACTTTTAAATAGGACGTCTGAAAGAGGGAGTCATTGAAATTTTAAAGTTATGCAATCTCATGTTTTGTAAAACTGTCTTACCCTCCTATCCCCCTCCTATCCTCCATGCAGACACAAAAAGAAATCAAGAGCATTAAGACAATAAGAGAGCATAGGTAGTTTTACCCTTTCCGGAGGTACACCTTCCCAAGGTCTATTTAGGGTACAGAGCTCCCACATCATAACTCCAAGGCTGAAGATGTCACATTTCTCCGAGAAGGGTTCATTACGAATGAGTTCAGGAGCCATCCACTCTGGAGTTCCTGCAGACGTAGAGTCTCGCATGGATGCATCTGTCACCATTCTTGAGAGCCCAAAATCACATATTTTCACTGTCCAATACTTATTTACTAAACAGTTCGCGCTTTTTAGATCCCGGTGAGCTATCTTCATTCGATGTATGCACATCAATCCCCTTGGGGTAAACAGACCCAAAAAACAGTTAGTTATTGATTATCAACCTGTGCTATTTAAGAAAACAATGTAGTAGCATGCGAATAATACAATTACACAAGTGAGATGGAATAGTAGTCCGCTGTGATTGTAACTTTACATAGTGTTTAGAAACTATTCTCCTATTGGTCCCGTGACTACTGGTCACTTTTGGTCCCTGAATGTTCAATTTTCTTGCTTTTGGTTTCAGACTGTAGATTCATGTCCCGCTTTTGGTCCTGGTGATCAGTTTTCAGGAAAACAACAACATCAACCTGAATCCGTATGGAAATTGGCTGAATAAGTGACAAGGAATCCATAACAGTATGCCTAATGGAGAAAAGGAGTTTGGGACCAAACGTGAATATGAACTCCTCCATCAGTTCCATTATCTTTGTCTCATATTTCCTTTTTCTTCCGCCCAATATCTTTGTCTCATATCATATTTAGTAATTTTTTTGTGGTTCTATTCAATTTCAATATATTGATAATTTACAAATTTAATATCAATCACACAATTTCATTATAAATAATCAAATCACTTCCTCATGTCCCAATCTTAATGGTAAGGATGTAGTAATATTTTTGGAACATAAGTAAAAATTTTAGAAGGGGGAGTCGCACACTGGTTTGTCATCTCAGAATATGAAGAAGAAACCAACCTGCATATGTCTCGCAGTATCTTGAGTCTCCGCCGCCAGCTGAGCTTCTTCTTTTGACCGCTTGAATGAATCAAATAGTACAGAGATCCCATCTCCATGTATTCAGTAACCATTGACAGATGTGGAGGTGTTGTGCATGCACCAAGAAATAATATCACTGCATGCCAAGCCAGAGAAGCAGTCTTCAAATATCTTTAAAGCCACCCCTTCAAAAAAGCAAGAGAAGAAGAAACATACCGTTTGGGTGCCTTAGACGGCTGGAGAGGGCGCAGAGCCACATGGAAAATCACTCGTTAGTTAAGCATGTATGATAAATTAATTAATTAATTAATTAATTAATTGATATGAGTTTTAATGAAATGTGATGATACCTGAGGATGGAAATTTCATTGCAGAAATCCTCCATATTTTCTGCAGTAAGATCTTGCTCCAAAAACACCTTTATTGCTACTTCTGTTCCATTCCAAATACCCCGAAAAACTTCCCCAAAAAATCCTAGAAAAGGAAAGTAGTGGTGTTGAAAGGTAAAAAAAATTGTGAGGTATGAATGTGGAAAAAAAGAACTGGGGAAATGAAGAAAACAAAACTAGTGAGGTATAAATTAGAACAAAACTAGTCCACAATATGATCTTTTTGTTAATCCTAACCCTTGATAAAACAAAAAAGGGTGATGGGAACAAGATTTTCTCATATCTCCTAATCATTGAGAAATAAATAGAGGCATGGTTCCAGAGACCTAAACTGTCTGCGCTTCTTTGTAATGAAGTAGCAGTCAGTCCATGAAATTTTGGACGCGATTTTCACTATGGGTCATCCGGAAACAGTCTCTCTGTGCTTTAGTATAGGGGTAAGACTGCGTACATCCGACCCCCCCTTACCCCACCGTAGGTGGGAGCCTTTGCGGCACTGGGGTAAATGAAAATGAAATGAATAGTTCCAGAGACCTAACGGACCATAAAAAATATCATCGTGTCATTTTGTTTTTACTGAATTGTGCTATTTCTTTCTTGCGGGTGTAAACAGTCCAGAATTTTGCCTCTTCTGGTCCTTGTTTGTTTTTCATAGTTGCATAGGGAATACTTATATTTTTATGCTCTACGAAATCTCCAGTCTCCGAAGGAAAAGACGCCAGAAGAGAACAGAAACGGGCAGTGAGAAAAAGAAAATCAAAACTTACCAATCCCAACTCGTATGCCAACGGTCAACTCCGAGAAGTCTATATTCCATTCATCAAAAGGTAGCAGAGGCTTATTCTGGAACATTGGAGATTCAAGAACCTTGTTCCAAGTTGATACCATCTCTTCATTCACCATGTGGTGCTCAGAAGAAACCACACTTGATTGAGTCTGACTCCTGAATTCATGAGGAGAGGAGGGCAATGAAATTGCCTTATGGGAACTCATGTGGTGGTCCCTTGAAGTAGTGAACACGTTAGCTTCTCTACCAGACACGCCATCAAGGTGACTGTAGTTGAAATTAGATGCCTATGGTGTACAATAGTTTGTTAGCAACACAAAATATCTATTAGAAATCGTTAGGATAGATCATCTGTACAGTAGAAGCTGAGATCCCAAAAGAAAAGGCTTACATCATTTTGAAGATGGGAAGAACTATCTCTGTCATTTGAAGTGCAAGGGAATGTCCTGTTTTCTCCTTGTTCACTCAAGAGACGACTCTGCTTCAGTGTTTCGTTCATTGCGCGAACAGCCCTAGTGTAGTTCATGTCATGAATATATCACGCTAATTGAGGATTAACATGAACACGCTAAGGGTAGGGTTGGGAGTGAAGGTTTATAGAGGCGGAGATGGGTTAATTTTTCCCTAAAATTAAGAAAAGAATATATGATTATGTTTATATTTAATGTTAAGACACTGAGAGCATACTAACCTATTAGGTTATTACTCCCTACATCCTGAACTAATCTTTTATGCTTTGGCTTGGCAGCATATATTAGAAAAGGGAAACTGTGTGGTTGGGATTCTTTCGGGGGGATATTACTTTAAATAGAAAGAAATAATACCAACCAAACCATTCTTACCTTAAAAGGAAACATAAAGGTTATTTTTAGACGGGGTAATATCATTTTTTAATCTCTTGTGTAGAAAATTTGTCATATTTACACACCATTTTCTCAAAATGGGGAAAAACATCCACTCTATTACCCCTTCAACCCCCCCCCCCCCAAACAAACCCTAAAGTTCTACCTGCAATGCTTTGAGCAAGAAGCATTTTCTGTCTCGGGAGTTGAGTAATAATCACAGAAAGAGTTTCTACCAAGTGTGTGACATGCTCACAAGTTTTGTGAAGTTTAAGGCTATGTAAGAAGTACAAAGTCTGATCATATAAGCTTAAATAGTTAAATGTGTTTGTAACCATGCACCATGTCCCTCTCTGATTTGATATTCGTTATCTTTCCAGCAAATATTGTTTCTTCTGTAACCCTGTTATAAAAAACTCTAGAGAGCCCGTGTAGGTAATCTTTGATGTGCCCAGATTACCAAGTGTGGCAATAAAGTGGTGGGGTTCATGTGGTCAATTGTGACTTTAATGGGAGGGTCAAGTTGGCCAACATGACATTATTCCAACATTTGGTAAATGTGGGCTGACGTTGGGCTCCTGAGAAGTCCTTGTTATAAGCAAGGATGAATTCATAGTCATGTTATAATAGTCTGCTTATGCTACATTACTTACCTAACATTACCAATTTACCCTCTATCAGGTCATCCATGTAAGCTAATAATACTGTTAGGGTTCTGGGACTGAGAACGGGTCCAGGGACGACTTGGGGTAACAGGATACCCGGTTGATGTGATAACCTGCCTGCTAGGGTTACTCCTCTTCTTGCCCGTGGCTGGAAGAGCACAGTAAGAGCGCAGGGAAGGGGGGAAGACCGTGACTTCTCTCTGGGGATTTTTTCTTCTTATGATCGATGATTTTATTAAGGCTGAAAAAGGAATATAAATAGGCATCCTGCCTTTATATGATAGAGTTCTAATCTAACAGAAACTATAACATCTAATACTTCTATTCCTAATAAGAGTTCTAATCTAATAGAAACTGTAACCTCTAATACTTCTATTCCTAATAGGAAGTAATAAATAAAATATAAAAATAGCATCAAGATAATTTCCCTCTTCTAATTAAACTGCTCTAAGCAAACTTCCCGCTGGTTCCATAAAAATGCATCCGTAACATCACTCCCTCCCTCGAAACTGAGCTTGTCCCCAAGCTCATATCCTGGATAAGCAGTGATAAAAGTGTCAAACGGTTCCCAAGTGGCCTTGTCTGGTGTGCTGCCTTGCCATTGAACTAATAGTTCCACTTATAGCGTTGGCAGACAACTCCAAGTCTGGGAAGCCATCATCTTCTTCCTGCTCACCTTCTATCTCAATCAAGAAAAGCCTTTTGCATCGGTGATTCATCGTCCACTGTTCATCACAATTATAACATAGCCCTTTTGCTCGTCTTTCTGCCATTTCATCCTTCGTGAGTCACTTAACAACGGGATTTCCTGCCTTTGTTGTCACAACCGCTTGTCTAAGCTGTGGCGGGTTGCGTTGTTTCATATCTGTTGTAGTACCCGAGACTTTTACAGGTGCAAGCATCAGTGTTTGCCTTGCTTCCAATGTCCGTGCAAGGTTCATTGCGTAATCCAGGTTGCCTGGTTTTGCTATCTCCACATCAGCCCGTAAGTGGGGATGGAGACCGGCGACAAACAAAGCAATCTGATGGGTGGACCGTATTTGTGAAGTTCTTGCTAAGGCCTTCTGAAATTGGGCACAATATTCATCAACTGATCCGATCTGCATCAGAAGTTTCAGATCTCCAATCAGGTTAGAACTCAAAGGGGGCCCAAAGCGCTCCAGACAGAGTTCTTTAAACCTCTCCCAGTGACTTCTCCTTCTTCCTCTATTATCTGATCGAACCACAGTTGTGCATCATCTATCAAGTGGAATGAGACCATATTCATCTTTGCAACAGTAGGAGTTTCTTGGTTCAAGAATAATTTTTCGCACCTTTTCAACCAACTGGTAGGGTCGTAGGTTCCATCAAACACAGGAAATTCCATCTTCACATACTGTGGTTTCCAGGGGTTCGAGGTGCTGTGTGATATCAGGCTGTTATCGGGTTGCTCTTCATGTGTTTCTGTTGATTTGGAATCCCGATTGTGGACTGCCAGAGATAGAGCGGCAATCTGCCCTTCTATGGCGGTTACCCTAGCAGTCATAGCCTCCATAAACTCCTTCATCATGGTGGTTAAATCATCATTCTGTGGCGCCATGGATCGTGACGTCTCTGATACCAAATTGTTAGGGTTCTGGGACTGAGAACGGGTCCAGCGACGACTTGGGGTAACAGGGTACCCGGTTGAGGTGATAACCTGCCTGCTAGGGTTACTCCTCTTCTTGCCCGTGGCTGGAAGAGCGCAGTAAGAGCGCAGGAAAGGGGGGAAGTCCGTGACTTCTCTCTGGGGATTAATTCTTCTAATGATCGATGATTTTATTAAGGCTGAAAAAGGAATATAAATAGGCATCCTGCATTTATATGATAGAGTTCTAATCTAACAGAAACTATAACATCTCATACTTCTATTCCTAATAAGAGTTCTAATCTAATAGAAACTGTAACCTCTAATACTTCTATTCCTAATAGGAAGTAATAAATAAAATATAAAAATAGCATCAGGATAATTTCCCTCTTCTAATTAAACTGCTCTAAGCAAACCTCCCGCTGGTTCCATAAAAATGCATCCGTAACAAATACCTCCATCCCACTAACATTGGGACATGAGGGGGTGGCACGATTATTAAGAAACGTGAGTTTATGTGGTTGATAATGAATTAATAAAGTAAGAATAAAGTAAAAATGATTTAGAGCCACAGAAACTTTACCAAATTTGGTTTGGGACAATCTTAATGGCATTTCCCGAAAAGGAAAAATGGGACAATGCTAGCGGGACGGATGGAGTAGCATTTATAAACACATGAGCTTCAACCAAGTTCATACCTTGGCACATTTAGCAGTAGCATGGACACCTTTTGGAAATGTCCAGAAAGGCTATTTAGAATTATGAAGGGCATATGTTATATGTACACATGCTAAAACTCGATGAAGTAAATAATTAAACTTAAGAAAATATCAAAATACTATCAATATAAATGGTTGTTATAATGTTTGAATAGCAAGATCAACCTTACGATATCATCACCAATTTCTGGAGTTATACTAATGCTTCTTCTTCTCAAACGACGTGTTTCTGATGTGGATGCACCCTCTGACCTGCAAATTGGAAACAATAATGAAAACCCAACGATCAAATGCTATAATAATGTTTCTTGGAAAACATAATTACAAGTAGTTAGGCAGACATAGGACATAAAGAAGATTGACCATATTGATTTATTCATTATCAAATAGTTTGACAAAGCACATATTTAACTTCAATGAACATGTATGAACACACAGTTGTCTTAGCTGCAATTAAGTTACACATGTGGTGAAAGGTGTAGGAAAAGATTTAGGGCATGCTATGAATTAGACAAAGATGCCCTTAAGTGAAGGTGAGTGAGCTACCCTCCCTTGTTCTCTAGAAGATAATCTTAGCTTTCATCAAATCCCTTTCCGTGAGCCTATCTTTGCATATACTCTTACTCTTGCCTGGTAAGACAGGACTTCACAAAAGACTTTATTGAACCAACGCCATCATCAGTTGAACAACTTAATACTATCTATGTTGGGGTTGGTGTCATGAAGTATGTAGTGTCAAATAGTTATCTAGAAGTATCATATGCTGAATTCATCCAAAAATATGCCAACTTCTAAAGGAATAATGAGAAAAAAACTCTGAAACTGTTAACCTTAATCACCCTACTACCCTAGATTTTATGATTTTATCCACTTGCATGAAAGGTACGAAATTGTGTATTGCGTACTTGAGGCATTTTTTTAGTATTGTGTATTGTGTAAGCCTCATTGCACAATGAGGCATAAGGCTGAGGCATAACTCTTATTTTGTAGGGCAATTTTATATATAAAAACTTAAGTAATAAGATATAAATGTTCATCCAAAACAAGACATTTCATAAACAAACCAAGAATAATGTCATAAAGCCATAAAAACTGTGAGTTCAAACATCAGATGATAGAAATGATTTATTCTAAAATTCTAAGTTTACTAGATTGATGAATGAAAATGAGAGTCCTCGCGTGATAGAAATTATTTGTTCTAAAAATTATAAGTGTTAAATTAAACCAGACGAATTTTAGTTATGATTGTAATGTGATGAATAGACAAAGAATGGAAACGGGAAAGTGTTCACATAATATAATACAGATAACACTTCATGCATAGGGCTTGGGTTTAGACAAAGGAAATTCCAGATTTATATTTTTTCTGAAATGGGAAAAAAATAGTACGATAATCCTACATTTTGGGTCTAACAAAGCTGGTGATTAAAAAAGAGAGCCTGAGAAGTGACTGTAAGAATTAAAAATAGAGCATACTTTAGAGATGAACAGAATAAAGATGACAGGCGGACTAGCAGAGATCAGAAGAGATAAGAGAGCCAAGCGCGGCAGAATAGTATCGGTCAATTATTGAAATAATAATTGGGTCTGAATTAAAACTAGACCCAATTATTATTTATGTGGGACACGTACGCATATTATCGTCAAACTACAATTACAAAGCCTTGCAATGCTTCACATCTTATGGCATGCGTTTTACACATATAAGGTGTAAGCCTTGATATGGCGTGAAACTAGTTACACCTTTCATCTTGAAATCCTGAAAATCGCTGAGGTGCGTCTCAAGGCGCAATTGCATTGGGCAATTTCAAACAATGCTTGCATGGCCCATATCAAGAGACAACAGTGAGCAGAGATAATTCCAAGCCATATCCAATTACAAAATTGATGGTCAAATCAACATGCCTTAGAAAATTTACGATATCAAACTCTTTTGTAGAGTCTGGAAAGGTCATTAAGATGCAGAGATGCCACATTATGAGAAGAAGAGTGACAAATTAATACTTTTCTATTTAATACCGTAAACCCACCAATACGTTAGGGGTCAGTCACATTTTTGCTGCAATCATGATAACCTATGTCTATGTCATAACTAGCCCATTATATGATTGAAAGTAGTGTAAAACAAACATAATCTGTAATGCCAATAGTAATGATATATGAGTGTCCTTGCAGATAAGGGCTGAATATAGGTCATACCGTAATACCAAACAAATTATCTGTAATAACTAATAAGTTATGAGGGTCCTTGCAGATGAGAACTGAATTTATAAGATTCAGTTCGGGAATGATTTCTAGATCAGAAAGATAGATAATACCCAAATATCCAAAACATGTATATAAGCTACAGAATGAGTAGAGAATTGAAGCCAAAATGAGGGAGGGGATAGGATAAGAAACGACCTTGGTTTGCTTACTTACTAATGCACATCTACATGGATCTATAATACGTAAAGGAAACAAGAGAATTACAAGCACATATACCTTGATGTAGCAACGTCATCAGCAAAATGTCCAAAACTTTTATTATCACCACTAAGCATGGATCGGCCACGTGTTCTAAACGAAGGATGTTCAGGGCTACAAAAAAAGAAACAGAATAATACTGCTGATGAAAGCATAGCCTTTTTTGTAATCTAGAACTCAAACCAACTAGCCATACCCTATTTGGGACTTAACCATGTCATGAAGTTACATAGTCATATATTCCATTTAGATACCATTAGCACACATTACATGAATGTCTTTAATAGCATGCAATCATGCAAATTAGGAAAATGTTGTCACCAACATTTGTTACTTGACCAACATAGGTATGTCTATCACAGACCTCCATTCAAACTATGTTTTTATTTGGACCATGTTTTCTGTCCATTGAAGAATTGCTTACCACAACGGATCAATAATGTGTTACGGTGAAGTCTTGGCCCACAATACAACCCACATAGCCATAATCACAAAATAAGGGTTAACAAATGGCAATATAAAAGCTATAATAAGTTCAAAATAGATTAGATCATTTTGAAGATATTGTGATAAGAACACTTAGAATTCTGGATTAAAAAACCTTGAGCTTGCGGTCCTTGGTTCACTGATAACCTTGCTCCGACCCCTCCTCCAAAATGTTGCAGCGATATTCGGATCACTATGGGATGAACTGGTAAGACGAATAAGGTCAAATAAAAAGCTACTCAGCCTAGCATATAAACAAAAAGTTGAAACCCTTCATATAACACTATTTCCTACATTATGAAGGGATTCTTTTAAAATGTTACTGAGTACTAAAATTCTAAATTCAGGAAGTTTCAACCAGAGCATCTGAACAACATAACACCTCAAATTCCTGTCAACGGAAGTGGATGACCGGAACATCTTGTTGCGCAGTGAAGTTCCAGTTGTATTTGAAGAAGCTTCTAGTCTTCGCTGGTACTGGGCAGCGTCATCTTTATCAACACTGAAAAGAAGATTGAAAATAAATTCATATTGCATAAAAACAAGACAAAAAGATGCCCCTACCAATTAAAGAGGAAAATGAGAACCACTAGAAACATAAGATGGCATTCCACCCAGCCATTCATGTTAGGGCATGGATGATCGAAAGTATAATCAAAATAATATGGGATATCCTTTTGAACAACCTATCTAGATCTCCTCTCTCTGAAACCCCATATAGAGGGCTATTAGGCTCCAATGGTGAATCGCAGGAATCATTTTCTGCAGAGTCACTCTCCCCAGCAGCAGATACATGGGTCATATAAATAGCTCTGGCAGAATGAGGGATCAATTGGCCAGGAAACCTCATGAGATCCACAAGAAGTTCCATGGAATTCACCACAACTAATGCAGACATATGCTTATATGAGTCTGTGAAATCAGAAGCACCATCTGTAGGCAAACCCTGGATCGAAAACCACAACAAACCATAATGTGAACAAGAAGATATCTCAAAGGAAGATAGGTTAGCAACCTAAATGCTTTCCTCTCTATTAAATGTGTAAAATAGGGACTGAGAAAAATAGGGATATAAGACACAGATAGAAAAATTACCACTATTAGCCTACATTCAAGACCTACAGTATCTGCAAGAACTTTGAATAGTATTGCTCGAGGGCGGCATGACCCATGTTTTATTTGTCCTAACATCTGGATACTTCGGTTGTTGGAAACATGAGAGGTTTCCTCGAGTACAGATTTAGCAGGACTGAGATCCAAATTGGGGCGTTTATGAACATCAGAAACCTAAATAGAAAGTCAGGGTCATCATGGATAGGGTTTTCACTCTTGAAAATTTGCAGTCATAATTCAAATGTGCAAGTACTAAATAACAATGATCAATTTCCATGATAGCCATTGACGTCTCCTCTAAGTGCCAATATGATAAATAGCATGTCTCCAACTCTCCATTTTCCCAACAAGTAACATAATTACATAATTCAATGGATAATGTATCTTCATTGAAAAGTAATTATTACCTAAAAAGGTATTGGAATAAACACCCAAAAGAATGTGCAAATTGACCAAGATGCAAATCTAATATATCATACAGATGTTTACAGTTTACCAATATTTCCTTTTTTTCCACCCCCTTCTACCAAAATTAGTTCTGAAAACTAGTATGTTCACATCCTCTTTACACTGTAAAAATTTGCCAATATAAACATCAAAAATTATATTCCAAACTGGTTTTTTCCTAAGGTGGTTATAGTTTGAGTCAAAATATAGCACAAACAATATAAGAAGTGCTCACCAATCCAGCAATCTTCTTGACCATTCCTGCAGGGTTTGAGTTCAAGCCTTTCACCAGTGCAACAGTCAGTTGTTTTAGCATACAAAGCTTCTTATCTTTCTCTGCATCTACAAGTACAATATCAGCTCTTAAACCCTCATGCTCCAATGCATGAAGCTCGTCAATTGTAGGAATATCTTCAAAAAGTTCCTTGATCCTTCTCTCCTATGTGCATTTAAATAAATCGCAAAGACATAAACCACTAGCTAATATGCAAATAAGAAGTGCTTCAGTGGAAGTAATTGTCAAGCAATACAACAAAAGCAGGATAAGATATAATCTGAGTTTAGAGCTCACAGGAACAACAGAATAGAAACCGTTTGGAATTGGCTCAGAAAGTGTTCCAGTTCTCCAGAGGATCTGGGATGCTGTTTGAGACAATGAACTAATGTCTACTTCATTTTCAGTTATTTCTTTATTACTGAGCATTTCTTTTTTGGCATCCACAGAAACAGATCCCAACTTTTCAACAATATTGAAAGGCCGGCAAGCGGCAGTTAGAAGTTTCTGCTCTGCAGGCCCTGCTTCGTATTGTGTCTCCTCCATTTCCAGAGGTAAATGGGCTGCAATAACATCTAATTTCAACTTTCTCCCATAAAAAGGTTGACGGGTTGGTTGCAAATTTAATCTAAGAAAAACATTATATGGAGGACTGCAAAGTCAACAAGCATTGTTGTCCACGAGTTGATGTCCATAAGACCTGCAAAGAGAAGAAATTCACAAGCTCTGTTAAATTATAATTATTCAAGTTAAGAACATAAAACTGAACATTATTTTAGCATATATTGTGGAAAGCACACTTATTGGTCTTAGAGGAGATAAATTGTGTTTGGCATAGTGGGTTATCTGGCAGCAACATGCCGACATCCTACAGGAGTTATTTTGCAAGAGAAAAAACAGAGAGTACCAAACATAAATTTGAAATGTACACTCAGTCTGTTCAGGGAGGGACTGGTGGAGAACAAACAAAGATTTTTTCTAAAATATTACTAAAATATAACTTATGGGCAGACTACAATTACTATGATTATACCATCATGGTCACTGCAGGTACTACTATGATCACTTTGTAGTAAAAGTCACATTTTTGTCCATTGTCTTTATTTTAGTCACTAGCAAGGTACGCGCCATGCACGAGGAAATGTGCCCAATCTAAATAAAATGACTTTAATAAAGGACTGAAAAAATCTTAAAGTTTTAATGATCCTCTTTTGCTAATTGGCTGTCTAAAAATAATTAAGTTCATAAAAATTAATTAGTGCTAGCTAACCTAAACATGTTAGTTAGAGCTTCACTTCATACATGATTAATATGGAATAAGCTATAATTTGTTTATTGAGAAACATGAATGTTATTTACAGGAACAAAATAATAACATATGACAAAAAATGACACAACTACACAAGGTACCTTGAAATAGATAAGAACAAACTACATTTCTTACCTCTAAAGTTTCAATGTTCAAGGTGTCAACTTCATGACATATTGAAACATAAATACAAAATCATCATTTCGCAGCGAGAAATCACATTGATACAATTCAATTTAATTCAATCCATTACTAAAAGCATAGATAACATCTTAGGCTCTCTTTGAAGCATGAGAACTATAGATAAAGACTATACAGATGAAAATATAGAAGATATTTGGAAGTAAAGAAACTGTGTGGGCTTGGGAGAGTTAATTAAGTCTCGATTTTTTCCTGATTGTTAAACTATACAAAGACCAAAAGATTTACACAACTGTAAGTAAATTAAAGTATTAATCATATATTACAACTTTCTTTGTATCTTTGTGGTAAAACCATACACATGTATATAGATTTTCAAAGCATTTTTCCAGATTTCCCAGTATTTCCCACGATTTAAACATATCCTTAAATGGTTTCATATAACATCATTACAATGTTTGACATCCCTCATACTCAAACTATTGTTCTGTTGGAGGTCAAGTATATAGTGATCATGTGACTTTCTAGTACAAAAAAGAAACAAAGAGCATGCAACAGAAGTTAAATTTGCAACATAAGCAACTCTATTGCAAGATGGGTTCCGTTCTTCATGACATAACCAGAAGTGTAATAAGAAGAAAACCAGTAATTAATAAAGCAAACTCAACAAAACTGAAATGAAACTGACATGAGTTGCATATTGTGTGGTACTAACCAGCTTATACGGTCTAGAAGTATCACAATCCAGAAGAGAAAGGAAAAATTATTAGTTATTAAAACATGCAAGAAAAAATAGCTTTTCGAAGCGTTTTCAGGCATTTTCAGCAAAGTATAATACTACGTAGCTTTTTTCAAAATGTTACACTATTAAATAAATAGCATTTTATCATCAACTATCAAATACGCCATGCATCTCTAAAAACTTTTCTATCTTTGAAACTTTGACCAACTATATATTTTTATGAGAAATTATTATAATATGAAAATGTTCTTTATTAAAAGTTCTTTCATAAAAGTATAAAATTTATACCTTCCATAACAATATATTGTTCAAAATCATGGTCTAAATTTTATGAGATGGCAAAGTTTTAAGGGACGAAGTAATATATGTAAAGTAAGGAAACTGTGACATTTTCTTAAATCTCTAAACCTTTTACAATACTTCTTTCTCACCTTATTCTTCCCAGTCTTGGGAAAAGAATAAGACTATGAGAATAGCTCTTTCAGTCAAGACGGTAAGGATCAAAGTCCAATCATCACGGTAGGATTTTCCTCGGTTCTCAACGTGGGATAGAAATAAGGGATTTGAATCCTCTGTCGTACGGCAAAGTGCCTTGCGGTAGTGGACGGCCAGATAGCAACGATGCCGGCCTTGAGATCGGCGAAAAAATGGTCCCCAAGATCTCCCACCGTTGAATTTTTTATCGGACGATTGTAAAGAGCCAGACACCCTACCTTGCTCTAAAGCAAGGCAGAGGCTCCGAATCCAGAAATAAGCATGGATCCAACTGATGTTCCATAAGAAAAAGAAATATACACTATTGGATTGCATTGCAACCGAAAATAGACCTTAGTTCATCTGACCTTAGAGGAAGTACTTCATATTTACGAATTCAATAAAAGGCAAAGACCATTGTGAAACCTCATTGGAGCAAGTTTTTTTTTATAATTTTTTTAACTGAATTTAGTAATAGGTGAAAAACAATTCACAGCCTTTCTGATTGACATGATGTGAAGAAAATATGATACTCGGTTGAAATTTGAATTACTACTACTCTCTTCTTCCTACAAACAATAAGATATGAGCTAAACGAGTGAGAGTATCCTACAGCTAGAGAAGAGCATCCTACTTTGATAAAAGCCTTAATTTGACCCATTTTATTATATATGGGGCAGCATCAATCTCAGATTCTCAGCTGCCAGTCCTGCCACACCAAATAATAAGCCACGAGCTGGAAACGTATTCTTACACCATATATCAAAATTGGAAGAATAAAACAAGAGGCCAAGGGGATGGAAACAAGGACTAAGTTTAGATGAAAAAATACATGATAAGAGCAATGGAATTCAAACTCGTAGTCAATAATAGCAGTATTTAAATTTGTCAAAACAAAACTAATGGCACTTACCAACAAATGAATCGGTAAAAGAAGGGAAAGAAGACGAATCTGGCTAACTCATATGTAGGGATGGAGTGGACATCATGAGTGAGTCTATTGATAAACCAATACCACAAACAAGGGCCCGAGAGGAAGGAGAAATACAAAAGGCTGAGGAGAAAAAAGTAGGTCGAGAATGGCGTCGAGTGCAACAAGGATTGATTTTGCAAAGGGGAAAATCAAAAGAAGACCAGACGGCATGAGGCACAGAGAGGACGGAAGGTTGGGTTGACGGAAAAAGGGCGGAAATTTTGTGACGGCATCCAAGTGACTCTTTATATAAGTAGGAGATATACGTGTCATTATTTCAACAAACAAACAGAGATGGAGTGACAAGTGCAGTGTCAGTTGCATAAAGGTATCGCCAGCACACATAAATACATATTTATATATATATTGAGGAATGATCCTAAAAAGGATCTGCATTTGGTGTTCATTGACTTAGAAAAGGCATATGATAGGGTACCTCGAGAAGTTCTTGGGTGGGCCTTAACTAGAAAAGGCATATCACGTAAGTATATCAGCATCATCATGGATATGTATGATGCTTGTACTACAAGTGTCCGCACTAGTGTAGGGAGGACCGCAGAGTTCCCTATTACTATTGGAGTGCACCAAGGATCTGCTCTGAGTCCTTTCTTATTTGCTTTAGTCATGAATGAACTTACGAAGTCAATTCAAGAAGATATACCGTGGTGCATGATGTTTGCCGACGATATTGTATTGATTGATGAGACACAATCCGGTGTTAAAGCAAAGTTGGAAGTATGGCGACAAACATTGGAGAGCAAGGGTTTCAAACTGAGCCAAAGCAAGACTGAGTATATGGAGTGCAAGTTCGGTGGAGGTAGAAGCAGTACCAACAGTGGGATTACTCTTGATGGTAAGGAGATACCGGTGTGTGATATGTTCCGTTACTTGGGATCCATAATTCAGAAGGACGGTGAATTAGATGGAGATGTATGTCATAGAATAAGAGCTGGGTGGATGAAATGGAAAAGTGCTTCATGATTTCTATGTGATCGAGGTATGCCGACTAAATTGAAAGGTAAATTTTATCGTACAGCAATTAGGCCGGCATTAATGTATGGCGTAGAGTGTTGGGCGGTGAAGCAATGCCACATTCAAAAGATGAGTGTGACAGAGATGCGTATGTTGCGTTGGATGTGTGGACATACCAGAAAAGACCGCCCGAGGAACGAGGTAATCAGACAAAAGGTGGGAGTAGCACCTATAGAAGATAAGATGCAGGAGTCTCGTTTGCGGTGGTTTGGGCATGTGCATAGAAGACCGAGTGATGCACCTGTTAGACGACTTGAGGGTGAGGAGAAGAGTCAGAGAAGAGAGGGAGGGGAAGACCCAAACAGACTTGGATTAGAGTAATCCGAACTGATATGCATCTTCTTGGGTTGGATGAGAGTATGACTTTGGAGAGAGCAAAGTGGAGAGCGCACATCCATGTGGACGATTGATGTCTTGTCTACCTTTCCTCTCTTGTTTCTTTTATCGTTTATCTTCCTTATCTTTTTATATTCTTATGTTATTTTTATCTTCTAGCTTTTTTATGCTCTTTTATTTATTTTTCTTTTATCTTGGTTATATTCTTGTGTTATTGTTATCTTATATTTATGTATCTTTATTTTATTCATTTTATCTTACTTTTTTTCCTTTTCTTGTCCACCTTCTCTTTTTGGCATCGATATCATAGATCGATTCATGTTAGCCGACCACAAATTCTTTTGGGATTAAGGCTTGGATGTTGTTGTTGTTGTATTGAGGAATGATCCTGTCCAGCAGCCCCCGGTCTGAACACCGTCTGAACATCGCCATATGGGGCACTTCCCGGTGGAATTTTTTGATGAAATTTTTTTATCATGTTCCTCATCAAGTCTAGTTTATCCATACCAAATTTCAGCTCAAAATTCGATCGGGAAGACGGTCAAACAATTTGTTGAAATTGACTGCGTTTTTATATGTATATTTTGGCGCAGTCAACTTCAATTGAATATATATTACTCCCTACGTCCCCCTGTTATTGTCCCATTGCGGTTTACGATGCTTGACTGACGATAAAGCAAACAGATCCCTGTCTGCACTCAAATTATTTTTAGAAAAAAAATTACATGTTCAGAAACTACATTAAAAGATTTACAAAGTCGCAAAAACCAGAATCAAATTTGATAAAAATTTGATACATAAAGTAAGAGATTAAGAGTGATTTGTGTTGACCAAGTGAATAGGAAACAGGACAATAATAGGGGGACAGAGGGAGTATATGTTTTGAAACAAACAACAGTCATGAAATCCTTATATTTTTTAGAAGAATGTGAAAATAGTTTCAGGCAAGAGAAAAATGAAAAGGATGATAATATTATATTTTAGTCGAATGAATGACTATTTCATTTTTACTTAATTTTAGACTATAAAAAGCATAATGTGGTTGAATGTTTGTAAATGGGGTTGAATGTTTGTGAAATGGGTGATATAATATAGTGTAAGTTTGCCCCCCACAGAACAAAAATCCTGGATACGCCTAGTAAAGAAAGAGCGAAGTAATTACCTAAGATGTTAAATGTGCAGCTTGCAGTCTTGCATGAAGAATATGTTTCAGATGTGCCTATAAGGCCAAGCAACTCTAAGGGGGTCTTTGCTTCAAATTATATAATAGAACCGAGGTAATGTTTTCTGTTATAACTTATGTAGCTTTGCTTAGTTCAACATATGTGAAAGCCTCGGTAACTGTAGCAGTGTAGCCTCGTAGGTTACTGCAATAAATGAGCGGATTGCAGTAATGTAGCTATTGCCCTAACGGTGGAAGCTAGGTATTCCAACTTAACTTTCTAATATTCCAACTTAACTTTCTGGTAAATGTGTTTTTGTTATACCTAATGTTAGATAGCCTTCCTTCGTTCCACAAGGTATAACCTTGGTGACCTTAGCCTCGTAGGATACTGCAATACATGTGCAGATTGCGGTATTGTACCTATCGCAGTTTTGTTCTAACGGTGGAAGCTAGGTATTCGAACTTAAAATTCTGATATTCCAAACTGGTCCTTAGGTCAGTCAGGGTTTTAACTCTTAACTTGTGTGATTCCAATTCTTCATATGTGCATCGTCTTTGTATTCATTGAAGAAGAACAAGAAAAGCATCAATCCATTCGATTTCACATCAAAGTAAAATTATACTCCGCATATATTTTTAAACTTTATCAGTTAGATTAGAAACTGAGCATCCATTTCTTTATGAAATTTGTTGTCATTTCCGATTAAGTACTCATTAGTGTGTGGGCTGAGTGGTAAATACATTCAAGTATGTGCTATTGTCCATTCTAGTAAGTACTGATTTCATTATATTAGCTCTCCCCTATGGCAAGTTCGAGCTAATGTATTATTGCCTTTTATTTGTTGACAATTTCTAGATTAGAAACACTGCATTGATAGCAGGATTTTGGTCAAATTCATGTGTTTCTATGTGAAGGTATTTCAGTAAACTATTAAATTAAATTAAATAGCAAGAAGGGGAGCCTTGGTGCACCTCTTAAGGTGCTGTTGTGTGACCGAGAGGTCTTCGTGCACACCCATGTGGTGGGACCCTTCCCCGGACCCTCTCCTTGCAGGGTGCCTTCGTGCACCTGGCTGCCTTTTTATTAAACTAAACAGCATGCTCTTAAGCCTCAAACTAACGACAGTAAATTACTGAATTGATTAACACTTCAGATTGTAACATTCGTGTTGGATTCAACAGTCTTAACAAAACACATTAGGTTGTTTAAAATTCTTATAATGCGACTGTTCATGTAATAATGTTATAATAACTTGAGGTTATTCGAGGTAATATACAATTACACACAAAATTCCCTAACAATCTCATGGTGCATTTCATATTTGTCAGAATGAGCTAGCTTTAAAATAAAGTACAAGCCGAACCTGGAGAAAACGCGTGGGGGACAAGGGTAGGACACTCCAGCCTCCAACTGGAGTATGGAGTCCTCGTACACGTCCTGTAACGTCTGGAAAAACGGGTATATGAACAGGATCGGGTCGTTTTGTCCAAATGAGGTGCGGAGTGTGTTTGTGAGACGCACAGCAGACGGGGTGAGGGCGTCAGGCTTGTGATTTGGAAGAAGCCGGCAGAAATGAATACGGCTACAATGCCGGTTGCAGCGAGTTGATGGGCTTTTTCCGAGTTGAGAAAAACGATAGAGGCGTAGGGAGGGAAGCTCCGTCTTCGACAGATACTATACGCAGATTCTCAGATCTTTCGACGAGTAGGGTTGAATGTGATTTTTTCAATTCCTTTCCCCTCTGGTATTCTTGTTTTTGGGTTGCTTTGCGCACCCCTAAATTACTAATATGCCCCTCTAAAAAAATTACTAGCACTGCGTTGGTGACAATTGATTTCACCACCCGGTAGGGATGTACTCTGGCCAGGTCAACCGACCCGGTACCCGAGTCCGGGTCACTCGGATCGCATTTTTTCGGGGTGGGCTCCGGTTCCGGGCCAATATTTTTTTGTTTTTCAAATTCTTTGGGAGTTAAATGGATTGGGCTGAGTGTTTTGGAGGGATTTGGCATGTGGGGGTGGGGGTAGGAAGTAATTAGAAAATCAAAAAAAATGTACTCGGCCCGACCAGAACCCGGTAGCTACCCGAGCCGATTCCAGGTCTCAACAACACAAAAAAAGGCCTGGTCGGGCTTGGCCTGAGTCCATGCCTACCATGTGGTGGCTGGTGCAAGCCGTTTTTAAAAAACATTGTGCAAGTCGTTTCAAGCATTTGTTATCGAAGGAAATTTTAAATTTCGCTTCATCTATTAAATCAATCCAATTTTTGTAGATTTCATAGATGAAGATAAAATAATTAAAAAGTACTAATATATTTTAAAAGTGAAATAAAATTAAAAAAACACTCAAGAACTACCAGAGTTGTTTTTTAAATTTTCAAAATATGTATCTTAATATTTTCATTGTTTTTGTATTACTCATAAATACACCATAAACGTATTAAAAACAATCCTAATATAATTTCTAGAATTTTAAAGGAAAAAAGACATCAGTTTAAATCATTTTAAAACGTTAAACATTTCGAAATTCTAAGGGCATGTTTGGTGACTCTGTTTTTCGGGTTATCAAGCTTATCAGTCAACTTTTTAACCACACACACGTAATTTTGATTGTGCGTTGAATTATGTAATACTACCTTTGTACTCTTTTAACTGCAACATTGGATTTTTTGGCATATTCACATATTTTACTTTGACTGTATTTTATTTATTAATGTATTATAAATTAAATTTTTTAAAAATATTGTTAAATTTTTCTCATTCTAAATTTTCAAAATCTTAGGGTCTGTTTACTAACATAAATATTTTCTGTTTTTGCAAAAATTTGGAAAATTGAAGATAAAAAAAGTAGAAAACGTGTTTACCTACTCCTTTTCCAAAAGGGACAAAATGGGACATGTCTCGCCTTTTCACATTACCTACTTGTTTACCTTCTCGAACAGAAAATCGACGAATAGACGTTTTCACATTTTGGAAAACGCGGAGCTACAGTACCTACTTACTCATTCACATTCCTCCACCCTTACTCGCTCTACCTTCCTAAGCCTTACCGCGCTCTACCTTCATCCACATTTATTGCGCTCTATCTTCCTCCGCGCTCAACCTTCCTGCGAGTTCAAGGTAAGCCTATCTTCACTCCTCGCCTTTACTACATTCTACCTTACCCTCTCCGCCTACCATCTTTACATCTCCGCCGAACCCGTTCAATTTGAGGTGAGGAGGCAGAGTTCATGTTCTGCGAGTTCAAGGTTAAAACCACTAACCCCAAGAAATTTTATGCGACAATTTGAGAAGAGAAAAGCTCTACTATTCAACATAATCAGAAATTCCATCTCGAACTGGAGATGTTGAAAAAAGAAGCAAACAAAAGAAAAACCGGTGGCTTCTCAGTATTGTGTGTTGTGCTGGTTGGGGTCATTGGAATTCTGGTATGGTACTTCATCAGTAAGAGTTAGGTTGCACCCCAGCAAGAACAAACACCTTTTAGTTCATCCCATCATTCTTTTTTGTCCTATTAGTGTAAAAAAAATATCAAACTAGCTTTCTGCTTGGACTAGGATAGCTAAATTCTTGGAAACATGTAGTGCATGACTTTATCAAAGATGTTCAAACGATATATTTGTGGCTTCAGGTTCAGATGAAAGCTTATTTCTGTAAAAAAAAAGTATGTTAGATTTGAATGTGATCTAAATTACTTTCATGCCTAAGTTTGTTTATTGGATTACCTGTGAGATTATTTGTTGGTCATATTTATCTAATAGCTGTTAAAGAATGAGGAATCAAAATCTAGTCCTCGACATATTGATAGCAAAAAGATTGAAATAGGGGAATAATGATTTGGAATTGGTAATACCTGGGCTAGGGTGTATACTTTTTGGAAGGTGTTCTACAGGCTTAGGCTATTTTGTTCCTTTTTTGATTTGTTTTTTGTTGGTGTATATAAGATATACATGTATCTGTATCTAGAAAAAAGAAAATGGAAGTCTATTATGGATAGACTGTTTTTTCATTGCTTAAAAAGTCTGTTTTCATTGCTTAAGAATTCTTTTTTCATTGCTTCAGTTATGTTTTAAGGTATATGGCTTAAGATCTGGCTCTCTCCTCTTAGATGTCACATGGTACACGGTTATGTTTTAAGGTATATTGTTTTAAGGTATATTGCCTCAGTTATGTTTTAAGGTATGTAGTTTTAGAAAGCTACTAGTAAATGGGATTGGAAAAGTGAGCATAGATCAATGGTTTTACTTGTGTTTGAAGGTCTTCTGGTGTTTAATTCATTATTATCTTTTATTAGCAAACATAGAAGTAGCTTTTTATAATTTCCAAAATTATGGAAATTTGTTGTGTTATTTGTAATGTTTGTAATTGTCCATTTCTTTTTCAAATATTAAGTCAACATTCTCTGTAAAAAATGAAATGGAAAATGGTAAACATATTTTCCTGGTTTGGAAAATAAAAAAATGGAAAACGAAAACCGAAAACTCGAAACTTAAAAATAGAAAATGAAAACAGAAAACTGTCTTTGTTAGTAAACAGGCCCTTAATTTTTTTTGATTTTTTTACTAATAAGGAATGAAACATATTAATTGTCAAACTTATGTGTTATCAAACATGAAAAGTGGACTATTGCAATTAAAAAAGAACAGAAAAAGTAATAAGATAAAGTAAGATTGTAATTAGTTTTGTGGTTGCATTGGCTGATGAATCCATTTTTAAAGTTCTTCTTTTCTGGGAGTCTTTAATTTATGTGGGTGGCCCTTGTCTCGTAGTTGTGTATCCATGAGTATGTGGGCCGTGAGTCCGGACTCATATATTATACAGAGTATCACTTACTAAGTCACATTTTTGCCTACCACTTTTCCAAGAATAATATCTGTCGCCAGTGATCCCAACGGTGACCCGCAAAATCCACACAAGCCGGGGGCCATTTCACTTATGCTTCCATTTGCACGAAAATCAGTCGACTAATGACACTCATGCCCCTGGCTTTTCCTTTATCGCCTTAACAATCAGTCTCAGTGGCACCGCTACCTTAACGCGTGCGCCCTCCATTAAAATATTTTAATATATTTTTAATTGATAAAAAGTAGCTTATAAAAAACTGTAATACTTATTTTACATTTGGAAGACATGAACTTAAGTTTTTAATTGTATTTTATTAGTCATAAATACACCATAAAAGTATAAAAAAGAACGATCTAAATGTTATATCTCGAGTTTCAAATGAAAAATAAATACTACGGAGTACATAATAGTTTTAAGTAATTTTAAATTTCTAATCATTGAGATATATTTAAGTCTTTGTTTGACATGATCTAGTTTAGTAATATCGATTACATGCATGCTTTATTATCATCCGTGCACCATATGACTTAATCCATGATCAATATATTTTATATAGCTATTTATTTATAATATTTGAAAATGAAAATAAAAAAAATTAATAATACAAAATTCTAAAGTATAAAATAATTTAGGCAAACTAAAAAATATTATTAGGAGTATTATTTACTCAATACTCTAAGGATGCACTATTACTAGTGTCGCACTAAGGAATTGAAACAAAAAAAATATGGAGTATTATATTAATTTGGAGTAGTAATTAGCTCCCTCCTGCCTCCGTACATGGTAATATAACACAAGATAAAATTGTACAAAGATGATAAAATTGGGGTGCGCCGAGAAGGCCCTTTGTTTTTTCATTTTGGGACTCAATTATGGAAAAAGTCATTTGTACATTTTTTTGTACACATTTTGTTGTACACACTCTCTAGTTGCTTGTGTACGCAAGTAGCTCGTTCTGAAGCTCCTGTATTGTCAAACCCCAGACTGCATCTAAGCGCATGTACAGCCGCCGTATGACCAAGTGATGTCACTCACAAGTGAACGTGACTTAATCATGCAAGGCGTCCATGAACATAACCCATCCATACTCAGTAGTAAACATACATAACAATATCACATTCAAACCAATGAATAGCGGAAATATTCAACGGTAAAGCATGGGCCACAACGGGCCAAAACATGGGCTCACAGGCCCAAAATAGTTTATAGTAAATCAAATATCCATGAGCAAGTGTTTGGTAGTTTGAAAGGAAATAAGGAAGCGCGAACCACGTCTTCCTTGATTTGAGTTCACCCGTAAGAAGGTGCATGTAGCAAGCCCTAGCTTCAACCTGAAAATGGTGGGGGCCCCCGAAGGGGTCAGTACAAGTACCGAGCGAGTAACAAGCTAAATGTAGAGTAACTAACGTTTCAAGTATAAGACCCAAACATAGAGTGATACATACACATATAGTACTTTCCCGTAAGTTATGAAATACATATCAGTATATATATATATATATACTGATATGTTTGGTAATTGTCCAAGTATATATATACACATAGAGTATTTCCAAGTATATATATATATATACACACACACACATACTTGGAAATACTCGACCCGTAGGTCATTGTTTGTTTGGGAAAATAGTAGTAGTCAATATCCTTGACTCAAATCCCAACCCACCCATATACCTATGAGTGTATAGGACTCCTCCTGGTCCTAATCAATTCATATTCTACACCATTTATACATATGAGTTTTGAGGACATTAAAGTCCTTGGGTCCTCCACCATGAGTTTTGAAGGCTCTTTAGCCCTTGGGTCCTCCACCGATGTACATATGAGTTTTAAGGACTCTTTAGTCCTTGGGTTCTCCACCATATGCATAGAAGTTTTGAGGACTCTTTAGTCC